ATAGGGAAATGATAAACAGGAGCGATTTTCGCCAATTTATAGAAGAACTCTATTAGAAGAGAAACTAACGGGTGGTCCAGATAAAACGGAACACCTTTGTTCGTTGTTTTTGGGATACTGTCTAGTGGTCCCAAGAGCTTTTTCTAATGTCAGTCGACAGAGAATTGAATTCTCTACAAAAGCTGTAGTTTTAATCTCTGACAGCATTTTTCCCGTTTGAATACCATTCAAAATATTGAAGGGTGCTAAGTTGTCGAACTGCGTCACATTGAAAATAGAAAAAATATTTGCCTTAATCCAAAAACAGATTCCATAAGAATTTTGAAACAGCAGAAGATTCACTAGAAAATTCTGTATCTTCTCACGTATTTTTTGAAAGTTTTGCAGCTCAATTTTCTAGAAAACTTTCTTTGTGCAAAAACTGATAAATCTAATAAAACCTAACTTCCGAACCTGTTTCTCATATAGACTTTAGTTTTTTAGCTATAAAAGCAGTAAAACGTTTTGAATTCAGAGTTCTAATCTTATCATCTTACACAGAATTAAATTCTGCATTTTTTGATATATAAAGAGAGTTTCTCAATTCAAATCATTAATTAAAATAATTAATTTAATTTGAAAAAGTTGAAAAGCCGGTTGAGAACTAATTATGAGTCCAGCTGACGTGGTGAAAACATTGTATAAAGTTATAAATGAGTGAGATCGATAGAGCACAAAATTCTCTATCTTTCTACCTAGAAAAATTAGCTATCGAAGCTCAGACAATGGGATAGAAATCTCAAAGAAGGAGACCTCAAAAGCACGTCGTAATTCGACAACCCAGCACCCTTCAATATTTTGAATGGTACTCAAACGCGAAAAAGGCTGTCAGAAATTAAAATTACAGGTTTTGTAGAAAATTCAATTCTCTGTCGACTGACATTAGAAAAAGCTCTTGGGACTACTAGACAGTATCCCAAAAACAACGAACAAAAGTGTCCAGTTTTATCTGGCTCACCCGTTACTATCTGTCTCAGAATAGAATGGTCATAGATGTTTTTGAATATCGCTTGAACTGAAAGGGATTACAGACTTGTGTTTTTCTGCTGCTCAAAGTAGACGCCTTGGACATTGATCTGTGGAAAAATCAACTTGCAATCTGCTTATTTTAAGTACACAGACAAGCTTAGAAGATAGTTTCTGTTGAGTAATAGTACGGCGTATTGAAAATGGTTCCTATTCAAGTAATTTGGATGGATTTTGACTGAATTATCAAGTTTTTACTTTTTCCTTAAAGACAGTAGTAATGAGACATGAAGGACACTATGAAGTATTCATATTTTACTACTATCTCCCGGAAAAAGGCCAAAATGATAGGTTGGTTCACTCAGTATAGGTTTCTACACAAGTCCAAGGTGTTATCATTATATGTGGTAATAATAATGATAATTTGATCACTGAAAAGGGTTTTGGTTCCTTTTTAAATCTTTCTCTCAGTTTTTACATTCAGACATTTGCAAGCAGATGGGGAAAAATACTAGAAGTCGTCTGCAGACATTTTTCTACACAGTTTGTTTAGCAATGCGATAAAAATAAATAAATTTACACAATGGAGCGATATGTACAAATTTCCCTTAGTATTTGTTTTCTTCCGATAGACGATCGTTTCATATATGTCATTTTGTTTCATTATCGGCACGTCTAAAAATGCTAACACATCATCTTTCTCTATTTCAAGTGTAAATTTAATTTGCTTATGAACTTTATAACTTATCTCTCTTTTCCCATTTCACTTCCAGTTATATGCCTGGTGATAATACTAGATTAGTATCGAAAGCTCGCAAAAATTGTAAAATGCCTTTACTTATCGTGTTTTCAATTGTATTTAATATATTATGTTTCTTAAAAAACGTAAAAAGACAAAAAACTATCAATATCCTCTGTAATAGGTAGATACAGACGATGAACTACTGTATGCATGACTAAAAGATGATGTAGATTGTCGAATAATTAAAGACTAAGATGTATTGAATGTAAGTAGATACAGATAGCTTCAGGCATCTAGCAGGATCTACTAGTGCATCAATCAAATGAAGTTATATGCACTGAGTTCCACCAGATGCACTAGATAATTCTTGTTTAGAAGTTGCCGATAAGAATCTAATCCGATTCTTACCAGATTCTTAGAGGTGGCACGAAAGTTGCACATATTTCGTAAGAATCGAGTAAGAATCTTATAAAAATTTCATAAGAAAATGATAAGAAAGGTTTATTAGATTCTTACAAGTATTGTTCTCTATTCATTTCGTTCTGGTAAGATTTCATAGAAATAACTTTTTCTTCGTCATATGTACACATTATATTTATTTATATCAAAGATGAGACGAAAGACATAAATTGCATAATAAGAGAATGAAAGGACATGTCTTACATTTTTTTATCTATTTTTCCTTTTATGTTTGGGGTTCTATTCAATTAACGACCTATTGATAGCAATTAAAATAAGAAGGAAAGAACATGAAATAAAAGTTATTTTAAGGACACAGAAGAAACGATATGACGTTAGCGTTAGGAACTGATTTCTTTTTTTTCATTTTGTCTCTTGCTTTTATTGACATGTTTTTAAAAATTGATTAAAAAATATAAAATTGATGGAGAAATTAACAAAAAATCTTGTTTTGACATTAAAAGAAAAAGAAAATTCGTTTTTAACTACAAAAACTATAGACACTTCCATTTTTGATCCCGGAAATTAAGCACAATTGATTCCGTATATTAATTTTTGCGAAAAAATACACAAATGATCTCGGTTTTCCTAATAATTTTTAATTAGTTATATAATAACACAACTGATCCCGGAAAAAGCTATTTTTTTTCGTGAATAACATAGTTGATCCCGGAAAACTAGCTAGCGATGGCACTGTATCGTCCTTAAACTGAGGATTATTGACAAGCTATGTGGTCTCACTTCAACGATAGAATTTAAGTGCACAAAACACTGATATTATGGAAAAGACAAAAGTACAACACTACAGTTCGATATAAAAGAAACAAAAACAACCTAGTGAAAAATGTAATCGTATACGTATTTTAATCTTTGGATAGTGCTAATTTCACCTCTTTTGGTCTACCTTTTCCTTTTCTATTACCAATTAATTGTGGTACTAGATGACTACCCCACAACATTAGTAAACCTAAAGCATGTACGCAGGTGTATTCTTTTAAACCAGTTTGACATGTACAAAATAATGGTGGTAGTAAACGTGAACAATTCACTAAACGTGCTGAATTGAGCCAGTTAGCTAATTCATCATAACCACTCCAAGCCATTGCATAAAATTGTTGAATCTATGTTGTTGTACTCATATTTCCATTTTTTGATGGTACTACATAAACATTTGGATTCACCTGTAATATTTGTGTTTTATCCACTTGCTGTGACCATGTGTACGCAGCTAATTTTAAAGAATCTGCATATGTAGTATGTAACTGGAATGGGTTTTTTTCACTGTCTGTTGATCAGTCGATTAGCATTCGTTCAGCTGTTTTCAAAAATGCAGATAACGGAAGACGATTTCTTAATGTGTAATTGTTTTTAATTCTACCGTTAAGTGATTCTAGTCCATTATTTGTTGATGGTGCTAAAGAAACGGCTCCTTCATACCAATACGGTACCGATGATATCCATTCTCTTTCAAAATATTGTCTAAAATCATAGCTTTCCCTTGAGTGTTCCGTGGACAACGTCAAGCTTAGCAATAAAAAGTCAGTGAGATTGCATCACCTATCCTGTGGTCTTATATAACACACTGAGAAAGCAGAAGGTAGTCCATCTTGTAGCTCGTGAAATTCTCTATCAGATGAGGTGTTGCTCAGCATCTATTGACCATTTTAATAACATGAGGCGTGATGCTATTACAAATATCTGATCGTCAAATATTAATTGTGTATTGAAAATATCTTTTTCGACTAATAACCATTTACTTTTATCTTTAATTAGTTTTCTATATTCGCGACATTTACGAATCATATGAAACCAGCACATTAAACGGCTTGCTAACGGAATTTCAGACATGACGCTAGTTAAACCTACATCAGCCATAACATGTGAGATTGTGTAGGCTTGATTATTAACTGCTGAAGCCTATTGTTGAATACCACGAAATAATGTACGAAATGTATCAGCTGATTCGTCTGTTGATATTAAACAAATACCCATTGGATAAAATCTACGATTACAATCTGATGTCCCAAATACTAATAATGGTAATTCATTTGTGGTTATTTTATAAGTGTAGTCAATAGCTAATACGGATGAATATTTACATGCGGATAATAACTGACGTGTTGTTAAACGTATAAATAAATCATTCACATAATTAGCCACATAATAAGGTATAAATATGTCCTGTTGTTTATTTGGTTGTGGTACATTTTGACGTGACGAACGCCATTGTTGTAAATCTTGAATGAATTTAATACTTGAACGATCTTTTTGACGATGAACACGAGAAACGTTCATAACTTTAGTATCAATAGACAAACCTGGATGTAACGCTTTCATTACTCTATTAATTTGAGATGTTACCAAGCCGTTGTCTGACATTCTAATGATACTTTCACGAATTGGTGATGGTAATCTAGTTGTTGGGTTTCGTTGTTGATGATCATGAGATGCTGTTGAATATAATTTATATGTACCATCAGACGACTGTTTTGCTTTTAATTGAAATTCACATAATGGATACTTCCGATATTCTGAACAAATATATGTGTAACATAATCCATAATCCCGTTGTTCTGTACGCTTTTTACATGTATTATTTTCTTTGGCGATTGTTAATAACTCATCTTCATCTTTACATAAAAACAATTCTTGCCATATTCTTGTAGACATGTTGATAACAGTATATTTTCAAGTAACAATTATGCGTTGTGAGGAATATTACTTTTACAAACCGTTTTATACTTTTCAATGATAGAGAATGGCTGTCGCCTTGTGATCTGAGATAATGAGATTTCAGATACATTGTTCCAAATTATGTTCCCGTAAAAGACAGTATACAAAAGTAGTCAATTTGTACTATGGGTAAACAGCTCAAATTGTATATTTTTATGTGATTATATAAGGCGCGGCTAATTCAAAAGAGGGGCATGTTTTTATTTTTGCCTTAAAGGCCCATCACTCGATGCAGAATTTCGTGCTGATTACGAGTATCACCTTTTTCGTTCGATTTGATCACTTTTTTGAAGAGAAAAATGCAAAAATCTGAGATCGTGTGGAAAACCTCAAAAATCGTATTTTTTGAGAAAAACCTGTCTAGTCTTTTCCACTCAGCTCAAAACTTTTTTATACTTCTTTTTTCGGATTTCCCGTCACAAACTGCCCCTAAGAACGTGTCTTTAAAGGACTTCTGCCGTAAAACGAAATTTTGGCAGCCCCCCTAACAGGTGTAGGTCTCATGTCCAGTCCTCAAGGTTGCGGCTCTAATTCCTAAACCGGATAAACATCTAGACACTTCATTTTTGCGCCAAAAAATTCGGCTTAAAACGTAGAACAAAGTTACGAAGAGTTTTTTCCGAAAACGTTTTTCCTTTTAGAATAAGGTCATTTTGTTTCAAAAACGTCCTGTTTAGCCCAAAATCGGCCAAGTGATTTTTTCCTAACTCTCACAGTTTACATTCAAATCGAGTCAAATTAACAGAGCATAGGTAAAAAATGATGGGCAATCTGGCAAAAGTCATAGTAAATCTCTAAAAGATCTCTAGAGAGTCTCTGGGAGATTACTGGAAAAAAATTTAAGAAAATTAGACTCTTTTATAGAATAAGATTTTTTTTCCGTCTTTCTACTTGAACTTTTACTTGTCTAGTCTAACTTGCTTCCAAATAAAAAATACAAAAAATAAAAATCTAAAAAATATCTGTTTCTTGAATAATTATTGTACCAAAAATAGCTAACAAACTACAAAGAAAGTTAACTGTTCAGATTTGTGGTAGTTATCTTTCTGTGAGAAACCACCTTGTCTTTACACATGGAACTGAAAAACATTGCCAGTACATCTTGATATGATTTACCGTCTCGGTAGGCTCTAAGAGCACGCCAATATCTCCTCTGCAATTTCAGATTTATGTCCTTTTCTTGAAAGTTAATTCTCGACTCACTAATAAGCGAGGGCATCTTTTGATAGTTCTGTTCACTGTACTTTCTTACATAAGATTTCATGTGGCACCATAAGCCCTCCACCGACGCTAATGCGCAGTGGAACTTAGGCAAATAAAGTAATTTGATTCCGTACGAATTCGCTAATATCTCCAATTTCGTTATCTAGGCGAGGGAGAAAAACTAGCAAAATCTTAGGAAAACAGACTATATCCACACTCACGGTTTGAAATGCGGGATGTGTGGCCAAT